AATAAGCCTCAGTTTAGCTTGCAATCACCATGCACAAAAACACAGATGATTCAAGTCGACTATAGGCAAGACTTGACGATTCTGATTCGACTATGTAAATCCTTAGTCCTAAAAAAGAAAGAGAAAGAGAAACAGGTTGAACGTCAGAAAAGATGGAAAACTGATGATGGACATTGAGACAGGTAATTAGCTGAATTAATCATTTGAACTAATTAGACAAATTGGTAGCATATAAGCTGTTTTTGAGGGCAAGAAGGACCTTTGGGCAAATTCTTTTTTTCAAAAATCGGCTAATGCTCCTTTAATATAGAGCATTAATAACCCACTGCCAACACACACACTCACACAGTCACACACCTTGCCATTGTGACTGTCAATATTCATGTATTAATGGTTAAACTACTGCCCTGAGAGACTGGCAACCTGTCCTGGTTGTATGGAGCTTCTCATTGAAATAGAGCTGGGATAAAAAATATTAATAAATATAGAAAATGGATGGAAGGTTAAACTACTATTCATAACAATTCATATCACACAAAATGTGCATGCTTAATTTAGTATATAAAATTGCTAACACCGACAATAGATTGGCATTTTGGGAAATCCACTTATTTGCCTTCTGTCTGGGCGAAAGACGATTGATACCACTCTCAGGTCTGTCGCTGCTGAAGCCAGGAGACGATTAATATAACTAGATCTAGTAAGAAACAGCTACCCTGTCTCTTTCCGGTGTTCAAACACATCCCCACAACGCTTCTAGAGGTCAGAAATAAAAAGTAGAAATAGTTAGACATTTTGGGAAAAAACACCTACTGGCTTTCTTGCCAAGAGTTAGACAGAAAGATAAATACTGCCTGACTAGCCTATAAAACTCAGCATGGACCACATCATATCGCGTTTGTATAATCTGCACAAAAATTTAAAATCAGAGTCTTATCATCACTGTGAGGTTGCCAGGCAAACAGCGGAGACTCCAGGAAGTCAGTGCTCCCGGCCAAGAAATAGTCATGCATGTAACATTAGAGGTGCTGTTAGGCAGATTATGATGACATCAAAAGCTAACAAGCACATTTCCCCAAATGTTAAACTATGTCTGATAACCCAAATCATAAACTGATCCCTAAAATAATCACACGGCGGTAAGACGCCTCTTCAACAAAGCCCAGGACCCTCACTGACACAGACTATTTATCCTGCCCCATGGACACTAGATGTAGCATTAGCATACATGATTGTTATCAATGTACATTGCACATATACTTTATACTTAACTTTTAACTTTTGCAGATTCTTGGTCAATCTCCTCATTTCATACAGAGTACAGCAGTGTTCATTTTTAAAAACATCATATTTTCTGTTGTAAATGTTTATATTTATGGTTTTTGACCTTTGTAGTATTTTTTTCTTTTCTCTAACTCTGTTTATTGTTATGCACCAAAATACCAAGGCAAATTCCTTGTATGCCAAAAGACAATAAGTATCAAACCTGTTTCTGATTCTTCTGAAGATGTCAAGTGACAGTCTGCATGGTAGTCCAGCTCAACATGACCAAAAACACATATACACACCAGGTACAGGGGCTACAAATAAATGTCTTATACTGAGGAGGATCATACGAAGCCAGTTATCTCAAGTCTTATTACTGTCGCAGGCCAACCAACTATTTGGCTGATAAGCCTTGTCTCAAGCTACACATTCCTTTTTATGTTTACACATCCCTGAGTGTTTACTGGGCTTCATCAGCTGCTCTACACAAACCGGCCACTTCCACAGGAATGCAGTGAGTCGGCCGAGAGAAGAATTAAATGCGCATCTCGCTGATGAGATACAGGTTCTGTATAATCTGATACAAAGATTTAGAGTGATACCAAACCTTCCCAAGATTCTCTGACAGTTCCCATTTTCATAAAGAATGAGCAAAAGTAGAAGTGACAGTTTTTTTGTTCCAAACAGAAATGTGTACTACTTGAACTAGATTGAGTCTAATTTTACATAAATGGTCACTGAAATTTAAATACATGACAGCTGTGTGAGAAAGTAGGCACTGTAATTAGAACCCACATGTGAGGAGAGAAATGTTGTGACGACCTTGATGAACAATTAATGACAGTTAAAGACAGTTGTAGCAGTAAGGTTTGAGGTACGCTGCAACTGCAGTGTTTGAAATGGTGGATTTCAACTGAATTCCACTTTAAGAGAGAGGGCTAAAAAGTGCAGCTTCAGAGCTGGATAAATAGAGAGGCATGTGAGAGGAGACATATTGATGTTTGCGGATTACTCTGTCGTGGACATATATGTTTTTGGAAGGAAAATATGAAGAGAAAAGAATAAAGCCAAAAGAGAAAAAAATACTGCATTGTACAGTCAGAATATGTACTGACTTTAGTGTGTAGTAGTGGATCATAACTTCAATATCCTATGATCTCAATCCTGCTCTAAAACTGTCCAACTGTAGTTCTATCGTTATCATAAGTAATTCAAAACACGATCTTTATGACACCTTATCATTAACCAAAAAATCTAAATAGACTTTTCAATTAATTAACTGATCAAGCATTAATCACACCTAGACACACCAAACCACAAGTATCTCCATGCACTGTTTCCCTTTTTCTGGCCATGTAGTTTGGTAAAAAATATTTAACTGCACACTGCCATCTAGTGGTAAAGAGGTGAAAACACCAGGATGCACTGAGAAATTATATTTTCTAATGAGATTGGTCTGCACTGCCCTCTGTCAAGATCTGATTTAACCCCAAGTGATCTCACCCACAATACAAATGTTAGCTTTTAGCAAATAATTTGGAAACCTAGGCCATCTTTATGAAGAGCAACAATTATTTTTTCCAGATCCTCAGAGAGTTCTTTGCCTAAAGTGCCATGTTGAACTTCCAGTGACCAGTATGAGGGAGTGTCAGAGCGATAACACCAAATTTAACACACCTGCTCCCCATTTACACCTGAGACCTTCTAACACTAACGAGTCACATGACACCGGAGAGGGAAAATGGCTAATTGGGCCCAATTTGGACATTTTCTCCTCGGGGTGTACTCACTTTTGTTGCCAGCGGTTTAGACATTAATGGCAGTGTGATGTGTTATTTTGAGGGGACAGCAATATGTTATACAAGCTGTACACTCACTACTTTACACTGTAGCAAAGTGTCATTTCTTCAGTGCACACACAAAAATGTGAGGGGTGTAATCACTTTTGTGAGATACTGTATGTGGGCATTTGACTGTTGGTGAGACAAAACAAGACATCACATTCACCATGTCCTGTGAGAACTTATGATTTTTGACACTGACAACTTTTGGTAATTGCTAAAAAGAGTAACTGGTGATTATTGTTAGTTGTAGCTTTAATCATTATAAATACTGCATCTAGTTTAGTTGTAGGTGCAACAAGGGTGGAGCATTATATTTTTGTGTAATAGTTTAATTCCTCTTGTTTTAAGTAAGTCATTTGCTTGTTTAAATTTTGCTGGCATGCATTATACTGTCTACATGGCAATCTATAATTTACTGCAAGTAAAACCACTTTCAGAACAAGACGTGTGACTCTAATCTCTCAGTGCAGCTATACATAAGATCATTACTCTTTCGAAACCCAAACAAGGACAAAAATAACAGAGACTGTTGATCAAAAGCCTGACGTTGAAACTGAGGGCAGGGACCTTTGACTTCTTCACCTTCAAAGCCTGTCAGGCAGGCTCGCACTGTTTTGATTGGCTCTGGTCTTGATCTCTTGGCATGCATGAGTTAAGTCTCCAGCATCCACTTACGGCCAGATGGCTAGTGTGTGTCACCTGCAGCAACTATAAGGGAAAAGTACATCACTTTTCCTGGCTCTTGTGCTGTTTGCCAACTGACTGACAGACACCATATGCTGCTAAAAGGGAACAACACTCCAGATGAGTTCATGTCAACTTACAGCAGTACAGTAAATACCTAAAAATCCTACTTTTGCGTATCAAATGCTAATACTCCAATGTTGGCTTGACAGCTGCATAATGAGTCCGACAATAAGCATGTTTGGTGAAATACTAACTGTTTGGAACATACTGAGCACATGGATTGGCAGAAGAGAGGTGGGTTAATGTGATTTGAAGAGTTTTGATATATGTTTTCCACTGAATGACTGAATCATTTTCAGGGTTGAGATATGTAATAAAACAAGGGTGTTTGTGCTATAAAGTATACTCTATACGCTGTGTCCCCAGGTCAACAACAGGGAAATGGTTCTTGTAAACCAAAAGCAGGAAACTGGGAGGCTTGTGTGCATTACGCTTGACCGTCTAATTACAGTGAATCAATATCAATTGACTTAGTAATTCGATTTTAATGGATGTTAAATAACCATACTAAATCCTCCGTATGTGCAATGATACTGATGTGGCAGCCTACTGTGTGAATCAACAGTAGATTGGAAATGCTGGACACAAATTGGTACAAGAGTCTGTATCAGAGTGTAGTTTTTACCAAGTTATGTTATGTTGTATCTGTGTAAGTAAATAGTAATAGTAAATAGCACATGCAAGGAAAGAAAAAAAAAATACAGATTAACTGTTATTTTTTTTCTGTTAGCAGTACCAACAGAAAAAAACCTTTTTCCCCCCACATACAGATAAAACCACAGATGGAAGATACAACTCTGGGTGATTTCACAGGAGGATGGCAAGCAATGTTGTTCTGGGGATTATAGGAAATGATTAACTAAAATAGCAGTACATAAGTGACATTAAAGGAGAGTCTATATTCAGAAAAACAACAGTTAAAATACTTTTAGACATCATAAACTGATAACATACTGTACATAAGTTTAGGGATAAAATGCCTAATTATAATATAGAGCTGAAAAGTTTCCTCCCAGCTCACTTTTTATGAAACTCAACTTTTAACATCAAAGTTAGGCTGACAAGATTAGGGGGCACAAATGTGTACAAAAACAGAATCAGGGACAGTATCTTTAAAATTGTCTTTCATTGTACAACAAGGGATTAGGAGCAGCGAGAAAACATTTATTTAAGTTCTGTAATTTGAATGGTGTGTATTGAATATTCATTGCACATCAGACAGGTGATCCAAGATCTTATCTGCCAAAAGGTCGGCACCTTATTTAATGACAACTTTCAGATTTCTACTTCATACCAAGCACATGCCTCTTACCATGTCTTTGAAAGCGTTTTCGATGGCTCCAATCACCAGGCTCTCCTGTGAAACTTTCTTTTCAGTAAAGAAGCGCATAGGTGGGGTGCTGGGAGAACCCGGAGCCCCTGCGGCACCACGGAGCGAGGCGGCCCTGGTGAGGGCGCGTTGGGATGTCGGGGTGAGGTGGTGATTGATAGGCTCCTCCCCAAGGCATGTGGGGGGCACCAGGTTTGGAGTGCAGATGATCTCCATCACTTCCTGAAGGTGCAGTGCGATGTGGTGATGCAGAAGGTGGGAAGCCACAACAGCCACCCCAGAGCCAGCGTGGCCATCAAACAACGCCCAATAGTGCAAGGTTAGGTCTTCAGAGCTGTCCTGGATATAGAGGAGTCAAACACAGACACATTATTCAATTGTGTCAATATTTACACCTGCGGGATGTAGAATGTAAGTAGAGGAGTTTTGTCAGACTTCACATTCATACTGATCAACCAAACAGTGACTGAAAATGTCTGTATTTTCTATGGAGTAAACTCATCCAGTGTGTGAAAAGCTGAGAATACTAGCCATGGCTTAACTTTTTGTAGTAGTAATCAATTAGAAGTTGATAACAGCCAATCAGATATTTCAAGATCTAATACGGTAATCATCTCTAAATGGATCCTTGGGCAACAGCTGCATCCAATACTGGGATTTATGATTTCCAGTTACAAGGTACAGTATATTTGTTATCAAATGTACAAAATGTAAAGACTCATCATCCAACATTATATAAGTGTGAATATGGTATAAGTCAAAACTTAATTTCTTCTTGTAGTCATATGATAAAATGCAGTGTAGTGCCCAATAATCTAAAGATACTGTACATCTTAGGCGGAAATAAGAAAAAAAAGGGAACAAAAACAAAGTGATTTCTGCTATACAAATTTGTGCCTTTCTCTGATCTTTGTTGTTGTTTTTTTTATGAAATTCTGCTTGATTTTACTTCTTTTCTAAAACATATTCAAATGAAAGGGGGGGAACAACACTGATAAAATTGCTTGAAACTGACAAATTGTATTGCAACCTGTGGCAGGTGGCATGAGGAGATTATTTGTAAAGGGTCACAAGCCAAAAAGGTTGGGAACCACATCAGTGGTACTGTCTCGGTGACCAGAAGAATAGAAACCCTTGTTCGTTGGACCAACTTTAGCCCCGCGTACAGCTGCCAGAGAGACTCAGACAGGAAGCTGTATGGTCCAGGTGTTATGAGTGAAAGCTACATTATATTCTACTGCATTTCAATTCACCCCATTCTGTAGATGCTCAGTGGGAACGCTTTCAGGGGGACTGCACTGATCAATTCAATGAAACCCTTTGATGAAAGAATACCCTTGATGGTCTGCTGTGATGTTAACGTAGGCTCATCAATGCTTCAATCTGCAGGTTTTAATAGAAACGCCATGATGCACTGCATGTTACAAAACTGAATATTGTCTTTTGTGTTCATCCTCAAAGTGCCACCTCCTACATAACGTTTAGACAAAGAGTCTTGGGATCTGCTTCATTCACTGTACTCCTGTGAGTTTGTCGCAGCAACTCTATGATCTTCCGCACTCCAGGAACCAATGGCCATGATTTTTCCATGTCTGATAAATACAACTCCAATCTTAGTAATTAAGTCACATATAATAAAACGTATAGTATACATATATAAAGTAAAAAAGAGAGGGCTGACTGACCTCTACAGGGACAGGGTTTATACTGCGTATGTTCTGGTCACTGATTATAGATGATTGCTTGCACATATTTCTGCACACACTAAAGCTCTGATTTTCTAAATATACTGCAGGCAGACAGTACAACTTTTAGCCTATGAAGCAAACAAAGAGCACTAGAAAAGCTCTACACTACTCTCATTGGTCTAGTATCACTGCAGTAGTGAGTCATGAGGTACTTGCATGAGTTTGCTGTAGGCTCTGGGAGGGCCTGAGTAAAATACTTGCAGACTGAGGGGACATTTTTAGCAGAAGTATTACTTTATATATATAGATACATGTTGCCTTTAGAAATGAAATCACAAAGTTCTATATATGAAAGGGTTAGAGATGAACAAACAATGAGGAAATACAGAAATCACAGAGTGCATGTCAAATCATAAAGACAGTGAAATACAGGGGATAGACATCAATGTTTACTAGTTTAATCGTATTTTCAGCCTTCTAACAAAAAAGGAACAGAGCCACCATTGTCACTGACTGACTTAAGTGTGTCAATATACTGTGTAAATGTAGTACACTGGCCTACAAAAGCAAACAGCAGTAAGTTTATTTTTTATAATGACAAACACTTTTCTTTTGTACACGACATACTGTACACGTGGAAGGACTATTATTAATTAATATTTAATATTTAACTAAGGTTAAAGGCTATTTGTTTGTTTCTATAAGCAAACGTACTCGCATTTGCCTGCCCGTGTTAGTGGCTGTCAAGAGCTGTTAAAGGCAACTGTGGTGTGTAAAGGACGCTGTGCTATACGCCCCAATAAACTGCTGATGGCACAGGATAAGGGGACAGTGGTTCCTAACAGCAGGCCCCAGGGACATTCAAAGACTTCATCAACTCTTATCATTACCTGCTATTCATCAGTGAATAAATGTTTAAATGTAGACTCCAATCTGTGACCATCATTAACATTTTATCAAAATGATGGCCCACTCCCAAATAGCATTTGAATTCAAATGATAAAATTCAGCTCTTATTTGTTCTTTAAAATTATTTTTTTTAAATGTTTGCTCTTAAAAATATAAGAAAAAAAGAATATGACTTGTTAAACTCCTACACTCACGTTTTTATAAGAATTTCCACTTCACCTCAGCAGATGGCAGAAATTCTTTTTTTACTTCAATACCCAGAAATCATGATGTTACCAGCACACATGTTTATCCGTCCTGTCAGTATGTTATTAATTCTAGGGAGGTAATAGATCTCACTGCAGTTGCATTTTGTTCATTCTTAACTTATCCTTCCTGTGTTCATAAAATGTGTCTGCAGAATGTCATTCAAGTTGGACACATGGAAAAGGTAAATATTTCCTAACTGAACCAGACCCATTAATTGGACTGACCAGGCACTCCCGGAGGCCTAAACCCTCTCCATTGGGCAGGGAAGACCTCCTGCGGGTCATGGGGGTCCTGTTGGGCGCAGAGCTTCCTGCAGGTCTCCTTTTGAGTACCAGCACCTCGCAACAAGCCTGGTCCTCATTTAAAGTGCTCTTTCCTGCGTTGATCACCCTGGATAACAGAGAGAGGCGACAACACACAGAACAAAAAAAAGGGACATGAACAGGACATGTTATGAGATAAAGATATCACAAAAACTGAAATTTAAAGATATATATATTATTAAAGAAATTTAATGAGAAATATGGCATGAAACATTTCATAAAACATTAATTTAAAAGCCATATGCATTGTACTGTATACATTACAAAACCTTAAGATAAGTGTATACTATGCATGCATGTATAATTGTAAGTAACCCTAACCCTAAGTATGAATAACAAATACAATATACATCAAATTACATTAAAGTATACAAAATATATGTGCAATAGGTAATATACATCCACTATATAATAATAATAATACTAATATGAAATATATATATATATATATATATATATATATATATATATATATATATATATATATATATATATATATATATATATTTTTTTTTTTTTTTTTTTTTTTTTTTTTTTCATATTCTCTTCTATCAGAAACAGAATGAGTATCTTGGATTAAACTTTTCAAAAGGTTATTTCAAAGTGAGACAATGAGAGATAAAGTCGGCAGACACACACTCTTTACATACACATGTATGTCAATTTGAGACCCACGCATGTAGGGTAGAGGACCGAAAGACACATAAATACTGCATTATACAACACCTGGCAGATGGTGCACTGCTGCTGCGAGCTGCTGTAGTCATGGACAAGAACACACTGCTTAACAATACTCTAGGCGTTCTCAATTTAGCCACACCGCAGGAGATGTTAGGTCTACAGTATCTCTATTAAAACTGTGCATATAGTAGCTTGTGAAATTAGAGCTAGACAAGCAAGAGGCACGCAGGAAAGTGTGTGTGTTGGCGGTATTCTTTCACTTTGAACTTGCTGTCAGTTTCTGCTCTCAACATATAATTGTCATAACACTAACAATGTTTATGCTTAAAGATGTACAGACTGGTATCATGCCTCTAAATATTTACAAAATGTCTCAAGTCATAATCATATCAAATATATGAGATATTATATGGCTATATGTTAATATAAGAGGCAGCCATGAATACTTCCTTGTTTAATGAGGATGAACATGCAGAGAAGAGATCTTCTGTCTCCAGCTAACAAAACCCTATTGTAAAACTGACGGATATTGACTGGGCAGATCTTCACTCAGTAAGGTTTACACAAGTCTTACACAATGGGCTATTTACCACTTCCCTGATCCTAAAACCTAAAAATTGCACACTCCTTGCATTGTGTCAATAAGACAGGTTTAAAGGAAACACACACATTTGCCTACACAGCTACCCAACTATTATGAATTCACACCTTCCTACATTAGTGGCATGGCACATTGAATCAGAATAGTGTTGAACATTAGTCAATTAATTGAATAGTCTTTCAACACAAATATCAATTATCTCAAACTGTTTTTATAATAATCATTTAAGTCATCTATCAGTCAAATGTGTGCTAATATTTGGTTAGTTTTTTTGTTCTGTTTTTCTTTTTTTTCTTTCACAAGTCTCTTAAAAATGGTCAATTTAATGATGTTATGGTCTGGAAGAAGATCAACAGTAATGTAAACACACAGTGTAATAATATGTAGTTATTAGGTTAAAAAATGCTAAACCTACTGCATGCCCTATTAACTCCTTTCCCTAACTTCATTTGAATAAAGGCCACAAACTTCATGCACCATCATGCATGTCTGAGACCACAGCACTGGATGGAGTGATATTCATTTGACCCTGGAAGATCACAAGATTTATCAAAACTCATCTCTGATATAAGAGGAAAAGCCATCAACCCCCCGAGGGATGATCTGTGTCCGAGAGCAGGGCTGTCATATTCGGTTACCTCATTTTATTTCTTCACATTTGAGACAATGGCATGACCTTAATTACCCTGTCAGAGCTGTAATCTACATTGCACTTCTTTTCCTTTTCAGTAACACTTGACCTGACGTTTTACTCCAAAGGTATTATCAGATTCAACCAAGTTGGTTTTAGGGCATTACGATATTATAAATTTGCAAAATGTCAATTTCAGTTAAGATTTTTTTAAACACATCTACATTCTTTATGTTAAATATTTCTTATTATGCACCGTATGACTCCTGTTAACATGAGAATTAGGTCAGATTTTGGATATTTGTATGTGTACATTGACACGCCTATCTTTATATCCCAAAATTACTGCCGCTTTTATATATTGTGTACCTACCTACATTCGTAATTTTAAATGTTTAAAATAACTTCTTATTGCATATTTGATCTGTATTTAGATATTCTTCTTTGCTACATTCCTTTGTATTCAGGTTTCTCTTTGTTTTTTATTTTTATTGCTGTTACTATTACTTTCGGCTGTAACATTTCAGCTTCCACAAAGAGATCATTTGTTCAGTGGTAACTCAAAGTTAAGCTACACGTTAAGGAAAGCTGACACTGAAGTGAAACAGCATTCTGTTGTTTCTGCCTCAGAGTGATGTGCTGTGACGCGCCATAACATGTGCTGCATCATGTGATTGAGCACTGGGAGGCTTTATATGTAAAAAGTGCTGCTCATGGGCATTGTCTCCACAGACAATGCCCATGAGCACTGGCTTATTTTAATCAGACCTTTACAATGGAATAATATTTTAAAAAGCTGAGAAAGAGTCAGAAGAAAAACCAAGCAGTATTATAGGTAAACCTACAATAAAATAGCATTTTTGTGGTGTTTACAATGTGTTTTAAGCCTTCTTTATGTTGTAAGTATTTGTTGAACATGCATACCCTAAGTTCATTCAACAACTACCGCTTAACACTGTTAAACACTCTGGAGCTGCCACTTTCTCATCTCTGTTCCCTTAAAGCTGGAGTGCGGGACTTTTACGTATAAACAAACGTCTATCACATTCAAGCTCTTGCCAAACGAGTTCACACAATGCTGATTAAGCCTATCACCACCAGGTAAATCCCTCTGTGTTTCACAGCATATTAGCGTCTTTAAAAATGGTGTCTGAGGCGTCATTCCAGCGCTGGCACACCAGTAATGATGCATTTTATGTCAACCAGCAATGACTGGTTTCCAAAAGCTGAGCGAGGAAGCAACCCAGAGCCATCAGAGAACTCCATGATCAACCATGGTGTAAACAAAACAAAACAAGAATTGTTTATGGTTTATTTTGTTAATTATGATTGCATAGTTTGCGTTAATATGCCCCGGCATCATTGCATTGTAAGCAGACATACCAAAAAAAACACCCGATTTGAAACTGAACAGAGGTGACGCAACTCTGGAGAAGGCTACAGCCACTAGGAGTATGGAAGAGCCTATGGAAGAAAAACCCATGAGGCGTCCAATAAAAGTTTCTGACGCTCCAGATAAAAAAAGAAACTCTGCATTCAGAGGAAGAATTATAGTCAAAAAAAGAAAGTGAAGGACGGTAAAAACAAACACGGATAACCATTGCTATAGCTTTTCCTTGTTGGAGAGCACTTAAGAGAAGAGACTGAAGGCAGATGCTGCATTACTGCTCTTGGACAGGTTGGAACTTGTAAAATATTTGGAGTAGGCTATGTAGCTATTACATGTACCCTTCGCTAAGCAATGCCCCGAATACACAGCTGGCCAATCACACTCTTGTGGCAACAGTAACTAAGGAGGCGGGGCTTAGCGAAGGGTCAATTGATTATGGTCTTAGAACTGTGGAAATGTCTCTATATTTTTGTAGCTAATTCTGAACACGAGTCGGGGGCGAGCTCACCTGTAGGCATACGTCATGTGCACGTGAAGACAGTGTTTATGTAATTAGACAAATTAGACAAAAGTTCCGCACTACAGGTTTATTTCAGATATTAATTCAATTAACTTCAAATTTTCTAATGTGTATAGCACAATCTTACACAAAATTATTTCAAAGTGTTTTACATGAAAACAAAATAAGTGCAGAGTATGCCAACCTACAGCCTTCTAGTCATAAGCCAAAGAACTGACAAACATACAAAAGGCAGTGATGGGGCTAGTGTTTAGCTTACAGACATATTGATTAGGTATTGATTAGATTGCTGCTGACATTGCAGGGGTATGCGTTATTGGTACTCAGTCATTACAGTGAGTGAGTGAGCAAAGCTTTTTCACAAATTATTCTTTACACTCTCAGTGCCATTACCCCCCTATACCAACAAGCAAGTTGGAATAGGTGAAGAGAGGGGGAATTCAGGTGAAGCGCATTTGGTTTTTGCTACACCATCATCAAAATTGGATCTATCCAATTGATAAAGTTCCTCTAACAGCTCTTAATGAACCTCTTCTTCAGGCTACTTCAGAAAAAGAATTGGTTTTGGCATAATCATCCCACCACTGGACAGAAGCTTTCTATTATATTTTATGCTGACTGTCACCCTTGATTTGTTTTCATGACCACAGTGAGTTGAACCCCACTTTATCTAAACTAGAGCTACATATTGTCCCATGTATGTTCACCCTCCAAAACGTAGCTTGGAGCAAACAGTCAGATAAAGGCTAGAACCAAACAGTACAACCCAATTAGAATCAGACTGAAGTCACACCAGGTTAATTAATCATATAATAGAGGCTGCCTCTAATTATTATTGTCATAATCTATATATCCACCAATTATTTCCTTGATTAATCAATCACTTAACGTATCATTTGACTGCACCCAAAGAAGTGGTAATGGCTATCACTAGCAAGGACCACGCCATCAATATATGCGTTGAAATGATTTATTGATGAACAAAATGATTGTGCAAGGCTTGGATCTGCTGGTTAGCTGTGTTTCTATGTGGGGAAGCTTTGATGTGAAATCCACCGTAGTACCTGGTTCACGACAGACCCCCTCATAACCCAACAGAGAGGAGGAAGCAGAAGAGCAAACAGGAGAAAGAAGTAGGAAGGGAGGGGTGCAGAACGCAAGAGCAAAGAACAGTGTATGGGTTAGTATGGCATTTATAGAAATGTCAGAATTGACATGGTTGAGGTATGGCTCTGCTCCTGAAACACTGCTAAATAGCTACACTTAATGAGGTGGCCTTTAATAACTTACTTAAAGTGCACAATGTGTCTATGTGCACAAACTGCTGCATTTGTACACTAACCTGAAGGTGGTGATGTATGTAGTAACATCACTGACTGTACCACAACTAATAATATGAGGTATGTTAGCTGTGATACACTCAGTGGCCACTTTATTGGGAACACCTGTACAATCTAATGCAATCCAGTGCAACTGTTCTGTCATAAAGCTTTTTGACACTGCTGTGAAGGTGTTAATTCAATTACATGTTTTTAGCAGAGTGATGATATTGTGCTGGACTGTAATATATTCAGAGAATCAGCACTAAATGTAGCCTGTCCGTAAAGTGAGGCCAGTAAGTGAAAAAAGGGTAACACAAGTTAGAGTGAGCAATACTCACTGATCCATTTAAATGATCATGCTCACTGGGCCTGACAGTCAGACCACTCAGAGAGAGTGCATCAAAATCCTCCTCATAAAGCAGAACTGCTCTTCTTGTCTCCACAGGGAGCAACACAATAACCCAAGATAACCCCAGAAAGCTCAGAGAGGTCTACTCATAGACAGGCAGCAACATGAAGGAGAAAAACACAGTACAGAGCAGGGATGTGCAATTCATCCTGAATGTCCCTAGACTTTGATTTGACATTTTCAAGAAAATTATCTTTAAATACTGGTACTGATACTACAGAATCCTTTTACATAATTTAGCATATGAATCTTGAAAGAAAAGTATAAGAAGTGCAGCAAAGTAACTATTTCTCAAATATTCTGAGTATGAGTGTAACATTTATCAAAATTGGCAGGATACACTAGGGCTGCCCCCTAATAGTCGACTAAACCGGTCAGTTGGTCGCAGAAAAAACCAACTAAGACCTCACACTCCATTTGAGAGCCTTTCCTTGTCATCGGGACCAAAGTATCAGGGGATTACGCCTTGCAAAAGCTTTTTCTCTAGAACCTTTGGTAAAAACTGTTTTTGATATTTGTGTGATATTGTGTGTGTAGCGTGGTTTCTGTGTGTTCTTTCTGCTGCAAAACGAATTGCCCTCTGGGGGAAAATAAAGTACTACTTGACTTGACTTGACTTGACTTTTGATTTGACTTGAAACGACTACAGACTGTACAGAACTCAGCTGCTAGGCTTTTAACCAGAACCCAGTTTTACGATAACATCACACCTGTTTTCGACTCTTAAAATTGTCTCTTGGGCAGGGGTCTCCAGTCTCTCCCTGAACCGAGGCCCTGGAGCAACCTGGCTGAGGAAATAAGGCTGTCAGAGTCAGTGTGTTTATTTAAATCACTTCTAAAAACGCACTTTTATAGGAAAGCATATTCTTTCTTTTTTTTACTTCTTATTTTTCTTGTATTTTATCACGGTCGTATTTTATTTCATCCTTGTCTCTGAAGTGAAGCACTTTGTACTCTGTTGATATGTGCTCTATAGATAAAGTTTAAAAGTTGCAAAACAGAACTTTTCTCTGAAAACAAAGAAGTCACCTACTGGCGCACTTCTGATAACTCTAGCTGCCATTAGCTAGTTAGTTCAGTTAGCTGACTCTACCCGAACTTGGAGTTTGGAGTACCGTGCGTAGAGTGTAGGTTTTTGTTTAAACCACTAAGACAGGAGCTTTGGTCCACCGAAGTGGCCATTAGTTGACTAATGGCTTGAAACTAACAACTACTAGTCGACAAGGATAATCTTTAACCGGGGCAGCCCTAGGATACACACACTTTACCATCTCAGAGATTCCCTTAAAACCGTGTTTTCTTTAAAGAAAAACAACTAATTCAAAGTATCTGTTTTGTATTCCTGTTAGCCAGTCTTAAATACTGCATGTTACATCTTAGTATATGTGAAAATATAAACAAGGTTAAGAGTACTCAATGTCATATGGGATGGATGGTACAATAGAGAAAGATGCCAACTTGTGAGTATTAACATTATGACAACCAATAGAAGATATAAAAAAGTAATGACTTTATAATAGCATCAGACATAAGAACCGCTCTCAATGCTACCCAGGCAAGTGTAACCTCCAGATGATCTTCTTTAGATGCACTACTAAGTATCTATCCTGCCTTTTATCAGTAAGATCCATTGGTAGCCTGTCTGACCCTCTTAACCTGTGGATCTGTATGGATCACATCATCTTATATGGGCTCAGGATTTTTCCACCGACAGTGAGTTTTCACAACAACAAAGTCTGCTGGTCAACCAGCTGTTGACAAATCCCCAGTATGGCTCTGTCCTGGCGATATCTAGCCCAAAAATCTGTATTTTCATTGCAACTAAAATTATATGAACCACTTTAGAACATACTGGGTGAGGGTTCACAGAAGCGAATTATCATCCTTTCTTTTCTGAGATAAAAAGAAAAAAAAAAAAGAAATTTCATGGCAGATATAGCATGAGGAAAAAGCATAGAGGAGGGCATGTATGAGAATCCAACAATTTCAAAATTTCTATTTCATTCTATAGGAAGAGGAGACCTTATACATCTGTTTTAGTACTGAAATAGTGAATCAAGGATCAACAGTTGTAGTTGTAGCCCTAATGTCTCTCTTTGCTGATAAAGTGTTCATCTAAATTGGGTTCACAGAAGGACAGCAGAAGTTGAAACTATAGATGCAAAGAGATAGGGGGAGTTTCTACACACAGTGATCTTACTGCACATATAACATCATCGATTAAACAATGAAGCTCAAGGAAAAAGGCACTCTGTCATAACAGCCTATCAGCAGCATGAAGATAAGACTATGTCGAGGGAAAAACACAGAACAAACTCATCTTATTTGTGAATTTATGAATGTGTAAAACAGGCACTTAACTGCCTGTTTCACACATTGTGGAGTTAGATTTGCCTCAAGGAATGAAATGTGACCTCTATAGTTATTAGACAGCCTGACTAACCACAAGACCACCCGGATACTTTATATGGGCTGCATGACTAGAAGCGGTTGTGACTGTGCTCTTGGGCGTTAGATAATGATGAGAACAAGACTCTATCACATATTTTGTGTTATGTCCTATCAAAGGTGAATGTAAACTATATGAAATCAGCATTTGTGTAGTTAAGGTTTGTTTTAGTCTGAGGGTGGGGTACAGCACGCTGCTCTAACCAGCATGGAAATAAAGTAATCCCCTACTTCCCTCTCCTGTTTGTTGCTGTTAGAAAAAGTCAAAATATTTCACCAAGTCTGCATCATCTCATGTTTGTTGTGACATTTTTTGTGCACCGTTTATAGAAGCAAAGTACTTAGGTTTTCATGAGTCAAGCTGCTACACTGAACTGAAACTGTTTGTAATAGCTCTCTTAAAATCAAACATAGCTGGTTTATTACACATGTGGCAGGAGGATGCAGGGTGGCAAATGGATTCCATATGCCCAAACATAAGATGTGATATCAATAATAAAAAAGATTATCTTAGGTGCGTGTTGTGTTTCACGTAACATACATCTAAAGGTCAAGTTGTACCGGCTTTACTGAGATAACAAAAGCAAAATAATAACTATTAATACAATAATACAAGACTGTGCACACAACAAAACACTGGAACAGGAGAAGTGGTTCTGGTGATGGTGATTTTTTAGAGGTTTCCTGCTGAGCCTTATGCCAATAAAACATGTCATTGCTATTTAATATCAAATAATATAATAAAACCTACTTTTGAGGGTGCAGCTTACTCTTGATCTCCTTATTATCTGTCTGCACTATTAGCTTACTTGACCTATTATAGCCTATTTAATGGTATTTTCCATCTACTAACGACACTATCACAATAATAAGGCATTCCTATAAGGCCATAAAGGCTAAAGACCCTGTCTTTTGGTAGATAGGCATGCTTATGTGTCATGGTCTTGGCCTCATAGGAGTCTGTGTTGTTTATACAGTAATGTAGGCTGTCATTTACAAGAAAGGCCAGCTGCTGCGCCTTAACCTGATTTTTAATTTAACAAGCATATGCACATAAAAGCTGACATAATAATATTAGAAGCGGCTGGTGCCTTTGTTTATGTCTTGGTGAGTGATCTCAGTGGTCCAGTAAGGACGCGCTCACTTCCCGAAGGATGCTGTGTGTGCTGTGCAAGAAAAGATGGACGCATACAAGTTACTCACTCTGCGTAGCCGGTGGACCACGGCAGCCGCTTGGTCTCCTTCACTATGAGGATCGGTCTCGCAATGTGATCCGCCGAGCACTCGACCTCGTCCGGCGAAAGTCCCAGGAACTGCGGTCTGCTGTACGGGAATTTCAGCGGCAGATCCGAGCCGCCGGGATGATCACCGTTGGGGCCACCAGCCACCATACCTCCCATAAAATTGGCCACTGCCGATTTCACCCGCGTGAGCATGGTCCTGCAGCAGCGTGGGTCCAGGAGATGCGAATGAGCGAGTTTTCCCCCGCCCGACAGATCCCCGCACTGAGACGCAGTTTCGCGGCGTGAAAGACAGACACACAGCCGCCGTGAAAACTCATTCAGCTCAGCTCGCCCTCCTGTGAACACGGAAATAAAGCCACATACACACACACACACATAGGCAGGCAGCGCTGCACGCTAGTCACGTGACAAACCGGTTGCTGCTGGTGGATTTGGCCGCACTGGCAACTCAGTGAGCAGCTTACTGTTGACAGTGCTGGAGGTCAAAGGTGCTTAATACCGGAGTTACTTCTTGGGGCAAGGTACAGCGTAATGAAGGGCTAACCCATGCTCTGAAAGTGGGCCCTCATTTTGGACTACATATTAAAACATATTAACACACATGTCTGTGAAGTTATTTCATTCATCCAATTATTCAAAGAGAGTTATAACACACACGCACACACACACATAATATTCACAATTGCAGTTTTTAGTATAATATGTTTCACATGTTTACACTGGTTTTACTTCCTAATGTTTGGGATCCCACAAACCCACTGCTGTAATCTACATGTGTTAATAATATTAACTGCAAAAACTGTTCTGGCCTCATTAAAACCTAAAATATAGAAGTGGTAACCCTTCCAGGTTGCCTTGCTCATATGATGAAGGTGACAAAATTCTAAAATGACCATTAAACATTGTTATTACACCAAATAAGAAAATATTTCATGTTTCAATTTCATTTGTGCATGTTATATATAAGTTATACAGAAATGCAATATATATACAAATATAATATATTTGATTTGTTTTTTCAAAAGTTATTCATACACAAATATATGTACATAATCCTACAGAGTGATGTTACTTGTGACTGTACTTTTGGGGTCAATTAGGACCCTGAGAGGTCTAAATCCCTGTTAGACCTCTCATCTGATAATACTCCAATAACAGAAATGGAATTAGAATGATTTAAGATTTGAGAGGAATGGTGCTGCATACAAATTACTGTCACCTTCAGTCATAGATATACCACATGAAAATCCATTGTATTTAGACCCCAAACAGAAGTAATGCGCAATTTTATGTAACTACTAACAGTTCCAATTCAGGCAGTTCTCATAATATTGGGAAAGGTCATGAAAGCATTAAGCTGATAAAAAAATGCTGAAGTGTTTGTTGATCTTTAAGAGGGTCAGTGTTCCCAGGCCGCCAAACAGAGCATAAGGATTAACACAAATTGTTCCCCTATAACAGCTAGATTTAATCCTAATTATGTTAAAGGTCACAATCCCTGATCACGATAGCTTTTCAAGAATAAAAAGATACCTAAAAATGACACACACAAACACACACACACACCAAACACAGGAAGCCAGTGTGAGTGTAGTCAGCTGACTTTGGCATTTGTACCTGATAAAACATCCATTGTAAATAAGAGGAGTGGACAACCTAGAATGTAATTGAGAAGAAACCAAATAAGCAATTCATATATGAAATTATCCATGTAGTAATAATAATAATAATAATGATGATGATAATAATAATGATGATGATGATGATGATGATAATAAATAGTAATAATAATAATATAAACTAAAGTAATCCAGTGCTTCAAAAGAGGCAGAGGCAATAATTATAGCAGATAGAGGAAAAGGTAAATAATACATATGGATAAAATAGAAGAATTGAGACAGGGACTCTGGCATCTTCATTTCCTCAAAGTGAGTTCACTGTACTTTCAAACTGACAGACACTGAACTTAACAAACTGATCTCTGTAATGAATTCAGTACACAGAAATCAGCTTTTGTCCTAGATGAGGTTACAATAACCACAACACATTAGTTAAACCCAGAGATATTACTGCAAATATGATGTATCCGGACAGTTAATTACTTTGTCATTTAATTTTTTTTCCAGTTTGTTCTGCCCTGTGGACTCAGTTTAAATCTGATTGGCTGGGCGTTCTGCAACCCACCAGGAAGTGTGTCTAGACATCAAGAACTTGTGGATACACTTAGAGCTGCATTTTGGAGAAGTAAAGCTCACGAATGATCTTTTATACAATAGCACAGTCTGCAGGCCAGCCAACCCACAGATCAGACTCACAGGCTTTCTATTCATGAACCTGCAGTGTTGAAAGGTGAAGTTTTAAATCATGACAGTCTGAAGAACTTTTAAAAAGACCCAAACATTGGTGATAGAAAGGCTGTGACAAATTGGCACTGTTCTGGGACTCATCTGGGAATGATAATTCAGATCCATTTAGGCCAAATGTTCACTGGAAAATGTTGCCATTTGGACAGAGTCTGCTTCTATCAACAACCCTTAAGCCAAATTTAGCTTGAGTCTATTAAGAGTTAGCAGACATCTGATCAGCCTTCAAATAGAAATGCACATTTTGCACAATCAAAGTCCAAGTACAACTGATTTAAGACATTTATATCTCTTATGATCATGTTTGTAGGACAACTAATTCTACAGGTATGTGAGAATTACTTATTTGCTTTAAGTCTCAAGTCAACAATGGGTAGATTAACCTGTTTGGTTGTCCAGGCCAAAACTTTTCTATCAGCCCTCACTGGCCCCTGACACACCCAACTCCTGCTTCCTTGTACACCCAGACACCAGTATACTCAAATAATACTACATGGAAATGAGATTAAAACAAAATGTATGTGTAAAACAATTAAGTCTTAGAATTAGATTTTAACACATGGCCCTTACTCACAGGACCACAAGATCACTCTTACAAAAATGTATCTGTGCTGCACAAAAACCTATGTCTTCTCCCATCCAGGTTACATTTGATAAAATTAATCATTGACAAAGTTCTTTTGTTTTGTTCAGTTTTTGTTATATGTCGACAGTGAATCCTTGTTTAGTGATATGGAAAAGATTATGGTTGGATTAAAAAAGTATTATTGAAAAGTAAACACTGACTTGAAGCATGAAACCCGGTTCCTCGTTTCAAAGTCACATGCTTTGTGTAACCATCCAAGAATACAACAAGCACCTCTATGCTTTTTGCTGACATATGATGTCAAATTACTTCCTCCTTTGGAGCTTTGAAATGAGCTGGATAGTGTTACATTTATTCCAAAACATATTAAGAAGTGAAACTTAGTTGCATATGAATGTAATTGTAGGAGAATGGGTTGTACAAGTGATATGTCTCCCCATGTTCCTATTAAAATACATATTTACTAAACCAAAGGTTTAAAGTTGTTAGAGAATTAAAGTTTTAAACTAAAGTCTTACATGGTGTATTCAATTCTCAGACATGCTATGAAACTTTTAGATTATTCTCAAATTGTGTCCAGTGGAGACTTCCAGTGTGAAGGGGATTGGTGGCGTGGCAACTTCCTTCATGACCTCAGATCACACGTGAAATTCTTGTTTTGAGTGTAAACCTTTCTACGTATGAAATGGGCTCCATGTGTGATAAACATGTGAAGTGTTTTTTTCATGCAATAAACTCGCATGTGCTTTTTTGTAAGGTTTGAAGTGATTGTTTCTGACAGTGCACAGCATGTGACTCTCTGAAGTGTAAAGTACCTTATTTTCGTAATAAGTTTATATACCCATTAAAACTGTGAGCTCATCAGTACAGAATGTCTCCAGTGAAAATGAATGTACTCCAAAGAAAGTAGAGTTACCAGTTTGGCAGACTATATCCAATCAATAATTCATGAGTTTGCCAGCAAAGAGCTCTATTGACCTAATAGCGCATAATAAGCCAGTTTGTGTCCTGGATGCATGAGAGGACGTACTTTACCTTAGGCAGGGAAAACAGCATACATAGTGAGTAAACATTAACCAGAACACTAAATGGGACCCTGGTCTATTCCATACTATAGAAATCAAGTAAACTCATATTCACAGGAGATTATCATATATGTCTGAATAATATGATATTTTCATTATGGATTAATCTGATCATTTGCTTCATTAATCAAATTGTTGTTTGGTCCATAAAATGTCATAAATGGTGAAAAATGTTAATCATTGTTCTCAAAGCCCAAGGTGACATCATCAAATGTTTTGTTTTGTCCACAACTCAAAGATATTCAGTGTACTGTCCTAGAGGAGGTAAACCTGAAAATATTCACATTGAGAAGCTGAAATCAGAGAATTTGTATTTTTCTTAAAATCAAAAAAAAAACATGCTTGTTAAAACACTATAACCAGGCTATTGAACTAAAATTTCAAAACCATCCATTTTTCAAAAAGCACACCCATTTCTCTAAACTCTACACACAAATTCCTTAATTTCTCATTGCCTACACCGTATGTTGAGAAAACACTAAGAACTGCAGTCTGAGTGTAAAGCAGGAAATGTGCATGCATTTCAGCGGACTTGGTTCATTGGGGTTGGTACATGAATTAAAGGTTGTGGTCATTGTTTTTCAAGTGTACTGTATAAACACTTAGAAAAAACTGTTTGCAACACTGAAAGTTTAGGAATTTGTTTGTAAATTTGTAAGTAAATTACTATATGCAGTGATATAGAAAAAATGCTGTAAAGGATATTGAAGCAAATGTCTACATTTCTGATGTTTCTTGTTACATATGCTTTAGTACAATCAATACAGTGAAAATATTTTATTCTATTCTATCAGGAAATACTGATTTATGCAAGAAATCATTCTAACTTCAAAGATAAAAAAAGCATCATTTATGTAATGCTGCAGTTCTTAGTGTTTCTAGGTCAGGTTTATCTGAGGGAAAATTGCTCCAGTGTTGTGGTCGGTTTGGCCAAGATGAATGTTGGTAATGCAGACTGTTTGAGTTTTGAAAAAGCTGCTTCAGTTTCTACCATGCATGCTAGCATTAAAAAAAACGCAATGCACAGACAGACCAGCCAATTGAAATCACCATCCACAGAGCCATGCCACTAGTGAG